GGTTCTTTGTATTTTTAACAATATCTGGCACATTTCAGCAAAACTCTTTACTGAAACATGGAGCCGGGATAATTGTGTGTTTCGTGATCCATCCTGGGCAGGGGCCCCAACCTCTGCTCTTTAGGCAGAAAGGAGTATGAAAATCTGTGATTGCAGTTTGACGTTTTCTTTGCATGATTAGGTCAGTTGGTAAATCTCCACTTCGCAGTTCTTAGAAGCCCAGATTTCCTGTTACAAAGCAATGTGGTTCTGATTACAGCCTTACTGAAGTCCAGACGTAGTACCTGCATTCTGCTAGCAGTTCTACTTCTCATTTTCCATGTTAACATGAGCAACTTACTGACTGTACCTTCCTCTTCTTTGCCTTCAATGGTTGGGGAGGTTGAGAATCCAAGGGGTTGTAGAAGGGAGTGAAGGCAGAATAAGTAGTAGCCACGTTCCAAGTTCTGCTACAATGCTCTTAGGCTCTTAGGTTGGAGAACAGAATCGTAATGACTTGAACTCCGAGCGAAAGTTTTTCTAGTATAGAGCTGTGGCTCATCTGTTTTTTGCTTTAATTCTGTCTGTCACCGCCAAGTTCACTTGGTGAGACAATACGGTTATCTTTCAAAAGAATATTGCCAAAGACCTCTGGATGTACCCTAAAAGGCCCCAATCCTACCCAATATCGCAAGATGAATCTAGTTCATGGCACCATTTTTGCTCACTTGACTTGACAGCTTCTTGTATAAGCTTCTTACATAAGCTTATATAAGCTTTTAAGATGACATATATAGCTTCCTAACTCACCTCTTTCCTTTCATTCTTGCTTTCCTACAATCCATTTCTCACACAGTAGCCTGAATTTTCTTTCAAAAATGAAGGTAAAGAAGATCGTTTCTCTTTCCTGCTAGAATCTTCCCATGACTTCTCCTTGCACTCTGATCAACATCCAGACTCCTTTCTGTGACATCAGAAAGGGCTGACATGATCTGGGTTGCGCCATTTCCCTGACCTCACTTCCTACCACTCGCCTTCTCTTTGCACACTATATTCTATGTACAATGGCTTTCTTCCTGGTTCTGCCTTGAGGCCTTTGAAAGGCTGTTCCCTCTTCTTGAAGAACTCTTTTCCTGCATCATAACCCTACTGACTCTCATTCATCCTTTGGGTCTCAGCCAACCCATCGTGTCACCCTTGCAGACAAATTTCCTGGGGCCGCCTTATCTGAAGAAATCTCTGAGACATTCCCCTTCGACTACTTTATTTTATTTCCTTCACAGCACTCACTACTGTCTAATATTATCTATTTGCCTCGTTGGCTTACTTGTTTATTTTTTGTCTTCCTATATGGGGATGTGTGCTTCCTTGGGAAAGGGACTTTATCGTATTCTTAGGGGGCTATTGCCTGGCCTGGCATAGCTACTCAATACATTTTTCATTGGATTGATGAATGAAAGACCACATCATTGACTTTATCTTAGCCCACTAGCCAGAAAAATCTCAGGACTGGTTCAGAGTCTTAATCTACTTCAGCTAACTCAAGACCCATTAATTTTCATTTCCTTGTTTCCACAGTGGGTTAATTCTTGCCAGAGCCCTAAATTCATTTAGTTTCTGTTAGTATCTAGAAAGAGAACCCAACACATTCTAGGTGCTTCATGAATGTTAGTAGAATACGAATCTAACATTTTATTTTAATTAAGTTGAGCAACCTCATATTTATATAATGTCATATTTGCCATATAACTTGTTAATTCTACTAAAAAAGTCAAGTTTCTAAACATAAAAAGAGAAAAATTTGTGATAACACTCCCTGTTTTAAAATCAGCAAGGTACATCCCCATGATTCCTGAAATGTGAAGGCTAAGCCAGCTGGGAATTAAAAATAATACTTTGAGTTTTTATAGGAACATCTTTCAAAGAAAGAGGTTTTACATCTTACTGTATCTACTCACATGGAATTTCTTTAAGGAAGTGTTCTTACATCCCCTTTTTCAGATGGAATTAATGTTTGGTGACTCACCCAAAGCCCGAGGAGGTGATGGTAAAGGAAGTCCCCAGTGTTTCTAATCCCCCGCTCCGCCCACAGCCCTTCCCTCCTCATCACCCACGTCTCTACCTTCCTGCCCATTTGCTGTTTGAATGTCTTTGTTCTGTTTGGTTCCCTTTGGATTTTTTTAAAGTTCAAACTGGTTTTCTTGTTTTCAGCATGTTATGTAAAAGCATGCACAAACAAAAGGCCTGGCAGTGGAAAGAGAGCGGCGTTCGGGGAGTAGGAAAGAAAGGAGATGGGAAGAGATTGTGGTAAGAATCAGGAGATCCTCAGTTCAAGAAAACTCTTTACCAAAGAGGGCAAAGGCCGGGGCATGGTGAAGCAATTCCCTTTCAAAGGTAGCCAGAAGGAAGGCTGGAAATGACTAGTGCATGTACTCATCATTTATGGCAATGCTCTCTTTATTGTGCAATTCGAACTTCAACGTCCTGCTTCGAAGCCATCCCGGGAGCCACACAGTCGAGCATACTTAAAGGCTCTGGCTATCAAACACGATTTGATTGGCTGCTAAAGACATATTTTCAGATGTGATGGATAAAACAGAGGCACTTGCTTCCTTTTCTGCTTTCACATCTCCATGACACAAATTTTTATTTTTCTAGGAAGGATAAAATAAATTTTTAAGGGGGGTGGAGTTGTAACCGATCAAAGAGGGTGGCAATAACGCCTGTTCTGATTTCACAAACAAGGAACCATAAAGTATAATAAGTGGGCAATTACCTCACGGTGATTCAGGCCGTTGGTGGTGAGCTGGGGAGGGGGCTCTGAACCGGGCTGCTGGGCTGCTTTGCCTCGCACCCACCAACACAGCCCCACTCTCAATTCCCACAAGGATAGGCAGGGAGAAAATTACAAAAACAGTGAAAAGTTGTTCTTCAAAGGCATCTCATGGCCTTTTTCTTTTCGTATCTGGAGGGGTTCAGTGGTAGGAGAAAAATGGGCCCCAAATGGCTGAGGAAATGCTATGAAGAAAAAAGTAAGCAATTGGGAAAAAAGAGCTTCTTCCATGTTAAAAAAAAAAAAAAAAAAAAAACAGGATGCACGGCTGTGGGGCCTGTAGGGTGCGGGGGCCACCCTCCTAGTTCCACAATGTCATTCATGGCAACATTCTGAGCCCCTCTGAGCCTATTTGCCATCTGAAATTGAGGATAATATCTAGCTTGCAGTCCATTCTGAGTTTAACTCTCATATTAGATCCATAGAAAATAGTCAGTAGTTGATAATTTTAGAAATCATGGAGATAATTTGAACAGGGTTAAAAGTACGGAACTGCTAATAGCCTATAATAGGAAACATAGTATTCCTTTCCAAATCTGCAGAAATTGGAATGTTGTTACACAGGAGCTCTTCAGCTACCCAGAAGTTACATTCAGTAAAAGCCCTTTTTAAGCATATTTCATTATATTAATTACAGGTTAAATCTGGGTCTGAAAATTAACAAGAATTTGATCACGTAGAACATCTAGAAAAAATGAAATAGGTTGGACGTCAGATTGCTGGCTTGTTCACGGGTAAAAGGGGCGAGGAGGGTTTTTTCTCCAAGGCCATTTACATTATGAAGTAAATCAAGCATTTGAATTTTTTTGTTTTTAATTTTCACCTAGTTGTATTAGCAGCATATAGACACCATCTGCGTACACCCTGGCAGCTTATTAAGTATTTTTTTCATATTTTTAATAAAATGTAGATAACTATGGATCGTATATTATTCAGCCACGTTTTCATTGCAATTTGCTATGTGGAGACGAAACTTCAAACTTCTTACAAATTCACCAAACCAACTTTTAAGGTTTTCTAAGGATTTTTTCCAATATAGAAGTAGCTTCTTGTGTTTTTACTGATTTTATACATAACATGTTAATTGATTAAAAACATACAAACAAATGTAGATTCTACAGGTAGAATGTAGAATCTGTAGAAGAAATAAAAAAATCTTCTGTGAGCCCATTACCCAGAGGTAATTGTTATTTGGTGGATATCGTCTAGACATTTTTCTACTTAATCTTTCACAATTTCTTCCCAAGCGAAATCATACTATGAAGATTTCAATCTTATTTTAACTTAAGATAAACTAGGTGCTTTCAATGCCAATAAATATATATGTGGTATTTTTAATGATTTGCCTAATAATCCATTTGTATGGCTGTACCCTAATTTATTTAACCAACTTTCCTGTTGGGGAAATTTGTTTTTATTTTCCCAATTTTTTTACTATTAAAATCCATCCTTGTATTTGTCTAATTCTTTCCATAGGATTAACTCCTAACAGTGAAATTGCTAGGTCAAAGGAAATTCACATTTCTAAAGTTTTTGATATATATATTTCTGAACTGCCGTCATGAAAGTTTTTCCAACATATGCCCCAGTGTTTGTGAGTGGCTTTTCTCTCTTGTTAACACTGGATACTATAATTCTTTTACATCTGTGCTTATCTAGTAATATAAAAGTATATCATTTTAATGTGCATTTCTATGTTTATTGTTAAGTTGAACAATTTTTTCATATGTTTATTGACTATCTGAGATTCTACTTTTGTGAATTGCCTGTTCATGGCCTTTGTCGATTTTTCTATTGTTAATTATTATTATTATTCTGTTGTTAATGTTTTTCAGACTGATATCCTCACTGAATCTCATATCTTGGGGCTATTACTGCTCATTTGGCAAATTCTTGATTTTTAAATTCATTTTTAAAATTCATGGCATCCAAAATTCCAAGTGAAAAATGGTAAATTTTGTATGGGCAAAGAAGTGCAGGGGCACATAAAGATATAGGAGTGGACCTTAGGGAAAGATCCAGGGTGTTCCTAGATGTTATTTAAAATAGTAGCTAAATTACAGCATGAGTGAATAGGATTACACATAAAAATATATTTTCTAATAGTTAACATTTTAAGGTGTTGGCCATGTTCTAGAACAGGATGCTGAGATCTTCTTCTGAAGGACTTTGTAAACGCGTTACATACCTTACTGTCTGGCTTGCATAATCCGAAGGGATGGGCCGGATGACTGCTCAAGATGTCCCTTGTCCAAAGCAATTATTTCCTTCTATTTTCACACATGAGCTTGAGGTTCGTAAAAGCTCTAATTCAAGGTTCTTTTCAGTTAATTTACAAATGCTATCTCTATTGTCTTTCCTAAAGGGCTTTGAAATTCTAAACTGTATTTCTAAGCTTAAGATCGAGTAGAAGTAGGTCTTTCTTTCAATTCTTCCTAATAGTAAAAGACACATACATACAGTGTGACTATGAGTCATCTTCCTAAGCTTTAATTTCTTACTGCTCTCTTGTGGCCATTCAAATGAACTGTCCAGATGCCTTTCTTTTTTTTAAACAGATCCTATAATATTAATAGGAAAAAAGTTTTCAAGCAGAGTCGTCAAATTTTGTTTGTGGAGCAAATTTAGAGTCTCTGACCTTTGAACATCAAGGTCCCAAATAACTCTTGATTTTATTATTAGGTATTTACTGGGATGGGGTTGCAGAAGAGGAAAAGCCTGCAAGTTTCTTCTTGTTTTTTTAGCAAAACCAACCACATTTTTATTCACCTATGAAGTCATCAAAAGGCTGAAGTTTGAAATAGTTCTGGCCATTCTGAAGGTAAAATAATGCAATTTCCAGCTTGTTTCCGTACTGTGGTTTTGGGAATATCAGTAGGGTCTAAGTTTAGTCATTATAATATAAAAAAGTCTCTTTTTAGGGAAAAAAATAATTCAAAGGCTGGCTATACATTAGAGCACACATAAGATATAGCTAAGAAAGAAAATGATTCTGTTACATTTTGGCCATATAATACTGCCCATGAATAGACAGGGCCCAGGAATTGCAGTGTCAGCGATGTTAAGAAGACAGAATGAATTGTCTTATTTTTAGTCCTGAGTGTTGGTCATGAAAATTATAATGTTGTCTAACAAACCTCTAATTCATTTGTCTTCAATTCCTATGACCCATCTATTCAAACATGGCAGGTTTTAAGCACAATTAGTAGTTACATTGCCATAATTAGCACATCTATCTCCCTGTGGCCAAGTTTTCTGTAAAACAAGGTGCCTCCTGGCCAGGAAGGTTAGAGGATGTGATGATACAGCCAAGATATCAAGATGCATAGGAACTGATGAGGCAAAAAGGAGAGAAAGGGCAGACGGACCAGTGTGTACAAAGGCCCTGCAGGGGAAGGGAGCAAGGAATTTTTAATGAAATCAAACAATGGTCAATGACTTAGTAGTAAGAAACAAGAGGAAATGAAAGAAGATTTAAAGCTATTGAGATATAGTTTTGTGGACTCCATCAATAAGTTAGTTTGTCTTTATTATAAAAAGTATAAGAAAGTACATCAAGATGCTCTAAGCAGATAATCATAGAATCTCCCTCTGTTCAAAACAATAATTGTACTTGATGTGAGGAAATTGGAGAGAGAGTGTTCAGAGTAGCAAGAAGAGAGCATTTTGAAAGCAATTGCAATAGTCTGAGTGAAAGATAATGGCAGCATTGATGGGGTACACATAGCACTGATAAAGGGATATCTGAACAAAAGGATATGGGAGGCATAATCTTCAGGACTCAGTGATGGAGGGATGGCAGAGGTGAGGGTGACAGAAGTATTCTGGATGATTCCTTGGTTTCTGGCTTCAATAACAGATTGACTTATGGTTGTATTTATTAAGAGAGGAATACCAGAGGGTCAGTAGTTTGCAGAAAAAGATTGAGATTAAGTTGTATGTGAGACATACAAGTGGAGATGTCAAGAAGGCAGCTAGATATGTCAATCAAGGATTCAGGGGAAGGGGCTGTCATGAAAATATATATTTGAGTGAACTTGGTACTCTAATGTGTGAGTTTTGATGAGATTGCTGAGGGATAGAAAACTGATGAAAAGAATAGACTTTGTAAGTGAAACCTGAAGAACATAAACTTTTATCTAAGTAAAAAAAAAGAGAGAGAGAGTTTACAAAGGAGAGGGAGAAAAATTGTTGGAGAGAATAAAATCATGGAAACATGGTGCCACTGAGATCAATGGAAGATTACGATTAAAGAAGAAAAACATGATTAACATGTCAAGCACCTTAGATAGTAAATAGTAACAGCTAACACCTGTAGCATGTATTGCATCAGTTTCTCAGAGTTGTGCGTATTTTAACCCCTTGAATCCTTCCACCTGTACTATGATGTAGATACTGTTATCATCCCCATTTTATGGATGAAGAAAGTGAGGCACAAAGAGATGAAGTATCTTGCTTGAGATCATGCAACTAAAATGCAGAGGAAGTAGGATTCAAACCAAGGCAGTCTGCTTTCAGAGTTCTATGTTTTGTTTACCACCATGCTGTTTCACCTCTCAACAAGTCAAAGAGAGAGGAAAAATGTCTTTGACCTGAGTGACATGAAGGTCAGTCAGGACCTTACCACAGGCTGTTTGAGTGGAAAGATAGGGCCAGGCCAAGAGCCACACTGAAGTGATATATAGAACCAGGGGTGGGAGGTGAAGAAATGGACACTGCATTTAGACCCAGCTAGACAAGCAGCTGTCGAGAAGCATGGCTCTGAGAAGTGTAGTTTGAATCACTCCTAAGATAGAGTCATGCAGGTAGGACTTTCGTGAGGCCAGGTGGCTATGGAAGACTCCAAAGATTTGGGTCATCTCTAGTTGGATACAGGAAGGAGTTCTGAAATGCATCAGACTCTTAGTTCTGTTTTAGAGTGAGACAAAATCATTGGGTTGCCTCTGATAGTAGATTTCTGAGGTTAAAAACTATTTTGTTCATCAGATTAGCACTCCTATTCCCAAACTCAAGCACTCACTACAGAGCTGCATATGTAGCAGAGGGAAATGAGGTTCTGGGGAAAGTCACTGTGGGTTTGGAGGACTCGAGTGTTTACCCTCCTCTCTCCTGGCTGTGACTTTAGGCAAATCCAAATCTCCTGGTTCTTCAGCTGCAGAAGAGGAAAGAAGAGCTCTCTCTCAGTATTGCTGGTAAGGTTAAAAATGCAGATACTTTGTTAACTACACAATTCTATACAAATATTAGGTGCTAATATAATAAACTGTTATGGAAAGGGGGAAGGAAGGAGAGAAGGAGGGAGTCACCCTGGTTTGAGAGTTTCACCAAGAAATATAATCCTACTAAAAATGTGGGCACACAGTAGAAGTTCAATAACTATTTGTTGGTGGATTAATTGATTTTTCCATTTGGAAAGGGCCAGAAAAACAACAGCAGGCACCCATGGGGGTCAGACAACGAGCACCCTGACCTTTGCCTGAACACCATTCTTGTGAGCACGTTGGCCAGCAGAGGGGGAGTTTCATGCTAGCAGCAGTGATAGACCAGGCATTTAACATAAATATTTGCTGATTGATTGATTGAACTGGGCATATCATCAACATTGCAGCACAAAATGTTTCGACAAGTGATCTTGTGAGATTTTAGAGGAATAAGCTTGCCAGCACTACGGCAGGCAGGCATTTCCTGAATAGTCACACTGCAGCGCCCCTGATGAATTGCCCACCAGTGCCAATTAAATGTAGTTGTAGTTAAACCTTCAGGGTGGTAGAAAATGATCTTTAGGACAGCTTAGGATTCACTGGGGAGCAGGCAGTTCTATAATGCTGTAGTTTCACACATAATTTGAGCAAGAGGCAGAGGCAGACGAAAGACAGCTGATGGATGTCTGCAAGGACTAGAGATTCTTCATCCAGAGCAAGTCTGAGAATGTTTAAATTTTTAGAAACAACAAGACTCGTGGCTCTTTCAGACATTACACAATGTCCTCTGAAATTTGTCTTCAAGTGTATATAACTGGTTAATATATTTTTTAAAAGTATTGACTTTTCAAATGAACAAAACAAACAAAGAAGAGCAACAAACACAATAACGAACACAGTAAAAAGGACAAAGAGAAGAGAAATAGATTTAAGAAAGAGTATGTGTTGGTGCCTGCCTGGTGGCATAGTGATTAAGTTTGCGTGCTCCGTGTCAGAGGCCTGGGGTTCACAGGTTCGGATCCCAGGCACGGACCTGGTGCGGCTTGTCAAGCTATGCTGTGGTGGCATCTCACGTAAAGTAGAGGAAGATTGGCACAGATGCTGGCTCAGCGACAATCTTCCCTAAGGAAAAAGAGGAGGATTAGCAACATGTTAGCTCAGGGCCAGTCTTCCTCCCACACACACACACGCACGCACAAAGTATGTGTCTGTGTTTAGATCTGCAAGACCTGACCATGTTAATGTGAAGCATGCCAAACAACTGAGAATATTCTTCAGGAGATCTCTGGAGGAGTCATCACTCCGCACACCTTTGCATCCTAGAACATAACCAGATTTCCCTGACCGTGTTCCAGATGCCTCCAAGTGCAAAAACCACAGGGCTGCCTGTAGGATCAGACACTAGAACGGGCCAAGGTAAAACGTGAGGCTCCTATGCAGTGGCTGATAGAGGTAACCCAGAGGAGGTCTGTCTCTTTTTTCTCTTTCTCTGAGATACACATATACTATGTTGGCAAGGGCCCTTGAGAGAGGTTGCTTTTTGCAGCCCAGTGTCTCACTCCATGCAAATTCCACTTTGCAATGAGATTTTCTTTCTTTGGACATAAATTGTCCACTAAATTAATTAAAGTGTGGAGGCATGAAATTAAAAGCTGGATGCTGTGACATCACACCAGTTGAATGTAGGACTAAATGTTATGTTTGAAATATAACAACATGATTAGTTTTAGAAATAAAATTTTAGAAAGCTAGCATGTTCCTGCTGGTGGGCAGTCAAGCCCCTAAATACTCTTGCAAAAATTCCATGACTACACCCAGTTAGCCCTTCTTGTGGGTAACAGATACTTACCTGGAACTTAGTCTGCGGGAACGCCCTGGTGGAATTACTGCTTCTCCCTAACTGGAGGAGTTAAATGCAGCTCCGTGGACCACAGGCTTTCAGAAGGATAACTCCATCCTTCTCTTCTAGCAAGACCACCCTGCCTTGCTCAGTCCTGAGTCTTTTCCTTCGACCACAGTTTTCCTTTTGCCCCCTTCTCGCTTAGCAGTGTGAAATTTAGTTTCCTTGTCTTTAACTCATACCTGATGATTCCATATTCTCTGTTTAAAGGTGCACTTGCTTGTATGAAAGAGAAAACCACACTTACTTTTATTTTTAAAACTAGATAAATAGGTAATCTATCACATGCATATTCAACTGTCATTGTCAGCTCTGGCATAGAC